AAACAATAACGATTTACAAGAGCTTATAACGGCTATAAACTACTTTTATATTTTATGCAAACACCTAAGAGAAAAAATCTTTAAAACACGGGGCATGTATTAAAATTGTCTTGATGTCCTCATTACATATAGTTAAATTACATAAACAATACAAGGTTTAGTAAAAATGTCTAGAAACTTTGAGAGAGCGTTGCCAAATAATATCATGTCTGGTTTAGATTACATGATAACAGGGACATAACTAATGGGGTTTGAATAAGTTGTTCAGGAAGAAAAGAAAAGGTTCAAAACTGCATATTCTTTTCAGCCCCTTAGTTAAGTGTCATTTGTATGATTTTGAGGCGTCTCAGAAGATGGGCTGATAAGAGGCGGCTGTTTATCAATGAGGAAAGTTTTCAAGTGCTTGTAGAACTCCTTGGGCTTCTCAATATTGAAAACATGCCCTGCATTCTTGATAACTACTAGCTGAGCATTCTCCCCCAAATACCTAAAAAGTTCAATGGGATTCAAGTTCGGTTATTGGGTCATTGCAAAATGAATTTTGTTCATGTATTACTAGAGATTGACCTTTTTAATCTGTGGCCAAGTTCTAAAGGGAATACTTTATCATGTTCTCCCCAGATTATCAGAGTTGGCTGCAGCAGAAGTGAAAGATATTGGTAAAAAAAAATTTGCATCAGATTCATATGAGTTTTTTTTTTTATGATTATCCCGCTGAGTAAGAAAAGAAGGGATAGAGTGGCAAATGAACCTGATGAATCTTGGTAAGGTCTGAAAGTTTTCTGTTTTTGGGAATGGACCGGACCAAGTCTCTTTTCTCTTCTACATATTCCGTGCACATTGCCTGCTCATTCCACTTGACCTCTTATTTAATCTTCGCAAAATAACATCTTCTAATTCTAAAGCATCAAAACAAACTGGATCTACAACGGCAGTGTTGTTTCACTCCAAAAGAAAGACATGCATTTTCCAATATTACATTTAGCTTGTGTTATAGCACCGCAATTTTTGTTACTTTCTGTGAGACATACATTTTTTCCGTAACTTACAATTATTGATAGCGCATTTTTCAAACAATAAAAAATTTAAAAATTGTTAGGCTTCTAAATTTTTAATTTAAATAAACCATAACTATTTCATCTTCAGATTCTTTTTATTTGACATAGTCAATAGTTATAGTCACGACATCTATTTGGAACAATACTACTATGCACCTGAGAGCACCGCCTAATAATAGAATATGAGTCTCAGGATTCACCTTCTAATTCTATCGAACATGACTTAGCGTCGGTACTTCCCAAAGCATTTTTTATTTATTAAAACAAACAATGGTAGTAAAGAGCTGCAACTTACATGAATGAAATCATTAAGCAAGCAAGATGGTAGCAATCCAAAAGGCAAGGGCCTAAAGAAAGTGTACCCCATCAATTCCTTAAGCCTCCGGGGCGTCTGGGGCACCAAAATTCTCGCGGCCTCTTCCAAATCCGACACCGCAAACAGCCCTTCCCTCAAGTCCTTCTCTTCCATGCACACCCCGGCGCAACATATCACCACCCTCTCCACCACTTCCCTATACTGGGCCGCCAGGCTGTAGCCCACAAACCCGCCGTAGCTCAGGCCCACCAGGCTTAGCCTCCGCACCGATAAGGCTTCTATTACCCGCATCACGCACTGGGCCTGGAACCACTCGGCCCGCTCAGGCCTGCTCGTGTAGGACTCGCCGAAGAACACCAGGTCCGGTATGTAGAGATTGAATAAAGGGGCCAGGTGGCGCACCATGTCGCCCCATTGCCACATTGCGTTGGCGCCCAGGCCGTGGATCAGGAGGAGATTGGGCTTGGACTCTTTGGGCTCCTTGGGGGCCCAACAGTGCATGACGGTCCCGTCTTTGAGGTCCGTCACGGTGGATCGGAGGCCCGATTTGTTGAAGGCCGATCGGTAGCACTTGTTCTTCGTCTTCGTGAAGCTGAAACGCTTGGACATTCGGAAGTCTGTAGAAGCACCAACTTTCTTATTTTATTCTTATTTTTTCTCTCTTTCGGGAGAAAGTTTGAATCGTCTTTCTCGTTCTGGCTAAGAAAGATGATCAAACTGATACATACATATGTGTAGAATTATGCGTATAGCTAATGAAGAAGAGAGGATTCGTTGGCACGATAAAGGGATTGTGGGCGATTTTAGTGTCTTGGTTAGCAGAGTTAAGGCGCTCAAGCCTCAAACGATAATTGACAAAAATAAAGAATATAGAAAATTTTCTAGTGGAAGAAAATTGGTGAGATGACGAGATAAAGAAGAATTATTTTTTTGCTTTTTTATTTGGAAGTTTCCTATTATTCTTGACTTATTGGTAAGGCAGTAAGCGACCTTTTTGGTTTGATGAGTCGGCAGGGTATTTACCAGTTGGTGATAGAACACGTGTTTGGTTTCCACTTGTGGTATTTTCTTTTAACAAAAAGAAAAATCCAGGGAGGGACGACCAACGGTGGCATAACTCTTCTCAGCATTACAAAAGCACCCTCATATGCTGACACAAATATGAATGTACTAACAATAATCGTACGTGGGAATGCCGTGCTAAGCACTTTGAATCGAGTATTAAACTGGAGGATTCTCTATCTCTTGTTGTGTAATCCCAGTGTTTCTTGCGTTGCTTAAAGGGACAAAGCTCTGTTTTGTTGACTATAAAGTTGGAAATGACCGATATATCCCCCAAAATAATTCCTAGTAGACAATTGTCAATGTTATTACCATGAACTCTGTTCTAATTTTTTTTTAATAAAAAATTTATTTTAACCAAATATGTTTGTTTATCTTTTTTTCCCAAACGAATATGTTTGATAATCTTGTTTCTGCTTTATGTTTTTTCAAATCAAGAAATTTTCGTTTGAAGGTAGAGCTCAAGATGAGGCTTGGCTTAATGTCGAGACGGGCCCGTTTAGTTTGCTGATTCAAGTTTTTAATTCGAGTTGATATGTGACTTTATATGAGAGCTTTTTACTGTAGTAAAAAAGTTAGATGTGATTGTTTCTGAGAGCTTTTTCTGTAGCAAAACTCGAATTCTAAACTCGAATCGGTGAAGTGAACGAGACTTGATAGTAGTCAAAATTGATTGTCAGTTTGGAATATGATCGAGATTAAAGGGTGAAGTCAAGGGCCGGGGCAGAGATAAGGAGCAAGATCGACTCTAACGCTTATCCCGTCTTAACCTCAACCTTCACCACGATCATCCTTCGATCTTGATCTCAACTTGAGCTTCAATGCTAATTCCAACATTTTTAGAGACAGTAAATTTTTAGTTATAAGAACAAAAATATTTACATATATTTTGCAGAACAAGTTTTTCTCAATTCTGAACAATATATATATATATATATATATATAAGAATACTATTGAAAAAAAAAATTAAAACAATTCACAAGATTACCAAGTAAATATTGTAGATATTAAAAAAAAAAAAAAAAAAAAAACTCATTTCTTTGTTATAAAAGAAAACAAAACGCTCTTAAAAAAGGAATTAGAACGTGGCCTAAGCTACTAATATTAATGTTTTCATTCATTTATTAACAAATGAACTAACCTTTGATATATGGTATAGAGATTAAATTTGATAGAAGGTTTCATATTTAATGTCTCCATTCATTTAACTAATAGAGGGACTAGTTTTGATATATTTCATTTTTTTTTATTTAGAAATAACTTTCAACACACAAACTATTTTTAAATAGTTATAAAAATTCGGGGACCTTTCATGCTCAACAATGTTTGTTCCTCCGATAAACTAGACAATTTGACATTGTAATTCTTGTTGGGTTACACACATTTCTTTACTTTCATTAACTCCTCCATTGTTGCTTGACACATCGAAATACTTCGATATCATTTTATTTAGAAACTGTGTTGCGAAAAATCGTAATGTAGATGTACACTATCATTAACCAAATAAAGTGATGAATAGAGTGTAAATTTTACGAGGATTACGTTAATTCTAATTAAGTACTGAAATTAGTTAACTTTAAAATTATTTGAACGACCAAAAATTAAAATGAGAATAATAAAATAAAAATAACAAAAATAAGACAAATAACCTAAATTATTTAGGTCTACGACTCACCAAATTAATTATACCTGAAAATCTTATTTAAATTAATTATGTCTATTCCCAATGTTAATAGTGAATTACTCTAAATTAATTATTAATCTTTCTCAAGCATTAATAATCATACCCCCAAACATGTAGACCCTACATCTCTTTAAGATTTTAACATGTTGAGATTCATTAAGAATAGAAAATCATCACCACAACACTACTCACATAATTATCTTTAACTTGTGATGTTCTAATTGCATAACAATCATGAGCATATTTAATCATCACTTCTCAGTCTCAGAATTAAATATCAATTCATGCAATTATTGATCAAACAATTACGAGCATTAAGAATAGATTGAAACATTCAACATATTTAAGAATAAAATATGAATTAATTAAAAGTAAAAAATCAAATATTCATAATCCGGTTATATCGTAGCATCAGATAAACAAATTAAAACATTCATTCCAGCATAATTAAAAAACAAAAATTAAAAATTAAAAATTTAGAAAATTAAAAATTAAAATAATCCGGTTCTCCAAACTTTATTTTTCCAAATCTCCTTCTTCTTCAAATTGTAGCCACTAAAAATATCTTCTCCAATAACCCTAAATAAAAACCTAAATAAATAACCTAAAACACTGACCCCAAATTCCGAAAAATAATTTCCGAAATTTATTCTGTATCAACTCCACCAATGGGGCTCTCTAATTTTTGGGGTATCTGTGTATTTGTGGAATTAATCGCTCAATGGGGTCTGCCCTGCTTTTGGTCTTGCGGCTGCCAAGGCTATTAATAGCCTCCAAATCACGTTCAGCTACAAGGGAATCAAAAGCTAATTAGGAATCTGACGTGGACAAACCACTTGACGACACTTGATTGGCTGCTTAGGAAGCTTGGATATGTGGCTAACTTCAATCCGAATTAATCCTCTTCTCTTTTGCTGATTTGAATCCCAAATTAAGCTATAAATTGCCCAATTCACCTAATTAAAACACAAATGAGGAGATAATAAATAATTAGACAGAAAAACTAAATAAAATCAAAATAAAATATAAAAAATCTAAACAAAATAAAAAAAAGTGAAATTAAACTAAAAATCAAATAAAACAATAAAAATTCTTTAAGAACAAAGTCAATAGGGCGAAAATGACTCTATAAAACTCTATTTTATAGAGTCATCATACTCCAGTGAAATTAAACTAAAAATCAAATAAAACAATAAAAATTCTTTAAGAACAAAGTCAATGAGGGCGAAAATGACTCTATAAAACTCTATTTTATAGAGTCATCATACTCCTTTCGGTAGGACTTGCTTATCAGTAGGGTTAGATTCAAATGTTGAATTTAGTCAAAAATAAATTAAAAAAATATGCATAATAAATTCGTGATATAAATTTAACAGTTAAAAAAAATTGTGAGTAGTTCATTTTTTTCTTATTCTATTAGAGAAACTTCCTCTAACTTATGAAATAGATACATAAAAAGTAACGAAAGTTGCAACGGCAATGGAATCTTCTTTCACTGTCTCACCCTAATTAGTTCACCAAATCTTGTTCAATTCCAGCCAAGCTCAGTTTTGTCTAAATCTTAGTGGAAGAAGAGGTTTACGAAATACGTGAACTTATGTACGTCCCATGCTTACTTTTCTCATATTTAGAGTTGTACATAAACCCAAACAATCTGTAAACTCAACTTACTCCACTCTAACTCAACCTAAAAAAAGTAATTTATAGCATTATTTTTTATTTTTCAGCTCACTAAATGTCTGGCCCGAGGTGTTTAGGGCAGTTTGTGAGTTGGGCCTATAATAGCTCGCATATCCCAACCCAACCCGCACAAACATGGCCTTCTCTAATATCTAACCCTAGGCAATTCATTTCTACTCTCTTCACTCTTTAGCCGCAGTCCTTCCTCAACTAGACTATCTTCACTCTTCAGTCCTTCTTCAACCAGTCGACCTAGTCACCTAGACCTTTAAGCTCTCCGGCGTCGGCGGCTTTTCTCTGCCTCTCCTCCCGGCTCTTTCCGCCTCTCTTCCTTTCCTCTCGGCTCTCTTCACCTCTCCTCTCGGCTCTCTACCTCTCCTCTTAGCTCTCTACCTCTCGGCCTCTCCTCTCAGCTTACTGATGATGAACTTTGAATGTTAGAGTTATTATTTTTATTTGATGATAAACTTTGAATATTGGATTGAACTTTAATTTTTTGAATATTGAAACTGACCACTCAACCCACCCTATACCGCCCCAACCTAACCTAAACATCATTAGATTGTGAATATTTTCTAATATATTAGGGCTAAATATGTGTAACCCGCACTCTTTAAGACGGGACAAGAAAAAATCTTACTCCGCACCAATCTAACTCATGTACAACCCTACTCGGATTCATTTCCAATTATTAGACCAATATTAGTACGCATCTTCAATTAAGAAACATCAAGCCGATGGAAGACATTTTTTTTTTAAAGATCTTGGCTTCATTTTTGAAAAGATAGTTGGCTTAAAACTTGAATTCTCCCCCTTTTTTGTGATTGTTTGGAATTATATCGAAATATTTCGATATCATTTTACTTATGAGAAATACATGAAAAGTAACGAAAGTCGCAATGGCTACAGAATCTCCTTTCACCTCTCAAAAACGAAAGCCTTTGGCCCTAATATTTGTTCACCAAATCTAGTTCAGTTCCATCCAAGCTCCATTCTGTCCAAATCTTGTTTACCAAAGACGAGAACTTAGTGTACGTTCCATGCCCACTTATTTCGGATTCAATTCCAATTGTTTTGGTAGACAAAGATGGAATTATTAGACCAATATTTCAATCAGAAGCACATAATAAAATCATAGTGTTGAAAAATTATGTGTAACTATAAAGCGTATGACGGTAAACTAAATGGAAATAGTTATACTAATCTGCGACTCTGCTATTGAGAAATAATATCACATCCGGCGTATCACTCACAGCAATACTGTCTTAAGAAATCAAGGTTTTTAGATTATTTTGTTTTAAATTGTGTTCATTTTTCAAATGAGAGTTGGCTTAAAACTTGAATTCCCCTGTTATCTGAGATTTTGTTTGTGGGAGTTGCATCAATTAGGCCCAACTTGATGACTGTTTAGTAAACCGAAACACACATCTGTTATGTGATAAAGAGCCGAATAAAAATAACGACAATGTGTTTCGACTGTTTAAGGCCGCGAATCTGTTCCAACTTTATGATATAGAGATGTGAAACTTTGTTCACAAAAATTGCAGGAAATTCTTCTGCAAAATCTCGGCCATGTAAATACAAAAAAAAAAAAAAAAAAAAAAAAAAATTATTCAGTTCATAACATGACTGATAATTAAAAAGGGCCAAAAAAAAAATTTGCATCAAATCTCAGAACTCTAAGCATAGGGGATTGAGGAAAAAAAAATAAAGAAATGTACCAAAGAAATTGGGGGGCCATAGAAGCATGCGCATAGCTAATATGGACATAAGAACCCCCAATGCTTTGGAGGGAAAGATCTGATATGTGCCTCTAGAACAAAGCCGTCAAGAAATCGATCAACAGATCTCAAACCCTTGCAGCCGAAAGGAGAGGCAGTTTACGCTCAATCTGTTACACACGCCACAACAAAAACAAAAAAAGAAAAGAAAAGCAAATACAATAATATCACACATACGAAGGAAAAGGAAGGTGGAGAAGGAAGAGAAATGGAGAAGAGAGTGAGCGGCATCGGCTCTAGAGATGGATAGGCAAAGAATCAAGAGATATTTATAGGATCCGTTAAACCCTAGGTTTTGTTACGGCGCTTGAGCGTTACCGCTGTCTATTAAATATATCACACCGAAACTCAAATGCAAACAAGGGTGTTGGTAGTGGAGTGTTGAAATTTTTTTTTTTTTGAAAGAGTTTTAAGGACTCGTTTATTTTGTGAATTCGAGTTTTTAATTTAAGATAAGATGTAATATTTTTTAAGAGTTTTTAACTATAGCAGAAAAAATTAAATGTTACATTTTTTAAGAGTTTTTAACTGTAAAAAATTTAAAATTCGAATTAGTGAAATGAACGAGACCTAAGTCTTTTAAGTAAATGTGGTTGCGAGTTTTGTTGAATTAAAAAAAATTAGACATAGATTACTAAACTATTCTCTTTTTTTTTTAAATTTATAGTAAACGGTAAATTTATAAAATTAAATTAATTAAATAGCGTATTTATAAAATTAAATTAAGTAAATAACGTATTTTAAAACTATTAAAGTAAATAGCTATTTATTGTGTAAATTTTTAAATTATGATTAAAAAAGCAAATAATTTGCATGCTAAAAAAATTTTATTTACATGAAAAGTTTTTTTACTAGTTGTAAAACAAATTACGCGGAAAAAAGTTCTTTCTACTAATCATAAAAAGAACATTTACACAATAAATTACTATTTATTTTAAATAATTTTAAAATTTGTTATTTATTTCAATTATTTATTGTAAATATGCTTCATTCTCCTATATTTTTTTTAGGGGAAGTTAACTAGTAGCTTTAATGATTTTTACTAAAACCAATCCATAATTTATTAAAAAGTCATCAATGAATGATTTATGAAAGCCATTTTTTGAAAGAAAGGAATATATATATATATATATATATATTAATTTAGACTAAGGACATTTAATTAAAGTAGACTTTGAAGAAACCATCCACCACAATTTTTAATCAGAATTCAATTTAAGTCACACGAATGCAAATTTAACAAAATTTAATTATATATTTGATATTTTCGAAATGCACCACTATCCATTAACATAAATTTATCCAACAGTATAAATTTTTCAAGGGAATAAATTAAACTAAATTTTTTATAAAATAACAATGCATCTATACCGTTTTAAACTCTATCTCTCTCATTTATTTATATTTATCGTCTTTCTTTCCAATGAAATAAACTTGTAGTATATTGTGAATCACTTTTCTAGAATCTCAAAGATAATATATTTACGTGTTGTAGTGTTGATTTTTAGTCTGTTATTTGTTTGAAGTTTGAAATATGAGTAAAATATAAGATTAATTACAAAAATTTCTCTTGAATTATGACTTTTATAACACTTCACCGTTTAATCTTAAAAATGTAATATCTATTTTCTTTATAAAAAAAAACATTAATAAAAAGCTCCTTTTTTGGATGGAATATTCTTTTTAGGATAATTTGGTAATCTCATTTGTTTGTCTAAAGTTTAACTTGAATATCCTAACGAATTCAAATTTAAAATTTTAGGGCATGTTCTTTTATCTAAAAAACTCAAAAAAAGACAACTCAAGTTTTAATTTTATTCAAGTTCACGTTCTTTTAAGTTTTAACTTTATTCAATTTTACTCAACGTTATTCAAGTTTTAACTTCAACTCAAGTTATAACTCAAATTTCAACTCAAAACTATATCGAAAATTGGCGATGGTTTTCAAGCTTGTCTCGTCCCAAAAAAAAAAAAAAAAAACGTTTCTTCAACAGTCAACAGAGGCCGTTGGGTAGTGAGGATGAGATGTTGGTAAACAATCAGAGAGGTGAAAAAGCAATTATTTATAGAACACAAATAGTTTGGGTTACGAGAGTTCTGAAAATAATAAATCGAAGTACAATCCGCCTTTCAAGTGCTTTTAGTATGCACGTTTTTCTCCAATAACTAAGACACTCTTAGTTGTATTTATATTGTTGGGCTTCAAATTTGAATCAAGAACAAAGTTGACTTTGATGAGATTTTGTATTTAAATTTATTTTTATTTGGCAAGTGCTTCACTAAGGTTGATGTTTCAGGGAGAGCCCACCGGTAACCATGGGGGGACTTGCAAAGTCGGGGGAAGGAGGTGGAGGGTACTGAGTAGGGGGAAGAAGATGAAGCTTTTCGTCTGTTTCTTTTATATATATATATATATATATATATATATATAGACACACATTAGATGTAAATTTTGAAAAAATAAATTATCTAGGAGGGTTGTAAAAGTTATTATGCACTAAGTTATTCAAGGACAACTAATATTTAAAATAATATTACATTTTAGAAATCAGGGATAACATGTTACAAAAGTCATAGTGTAAGGGAATTTTTTCAATTAATCCTAAAATATATTTCTTATTATTGTGCTTTGCAAGTCACTAATCTCCGAAGTGTTAAATGATCACAAATTTTGTTCAGATCTCCATCCCCTTTGCAAAATACGATACTCTTTAAGCTCTAAATGGGACGAAAGAAAGAGAATAGAGTCCTTTTCTGTTACCTGTGTTCAAGTTTGTTAAGAATGTTTTTAAAGGAAACGATCATACTCAAGCTCATAAAACAAAGCTAGATAGCTACAAAGAATTGCCTTCCAAAGACCAAACTGTATTATTCGCGCAATGGCAACGTATGTTGGGTCTCTCGTACAAAATCCCCTGAAAAAAAGCTAACGCTTATTCTTCATACTGAAACCTGATGCAATGTGCAGGCACAACAAATGTATTTCTCCAATCACACTCGATTAACACATTCTAGTTTCTACATCAACGTAGCCACTTGCCATGTGGCCTTTTTGTGCAAAGTAAATCAAAATAATAACAATACTAATAATCATAATAATAATATACACCAGAACCTAAATCACTATCTGAAAGAATTCAAACAATATTAACATCATAACACCATAAAGAAATTAAATTTACAATCAGGTAATCACTCTTTTTTTTTTTTTTTTTTTTCCTCTTCTCGTTTCTTTCTTTAACCTTTTCCTTTCCTTTAACAAATTGGATTCTGCAGCATCAAGTCGTTCGCCTAATCCCCTTATTAAGGCAATACCATTCAAATATATCATCCCCTAAATCTAACAACAACGCAAGAGATATCGTCTTTACTATCTCTTTTCACTGCTTCAGCTGTTAATTGTTTGGCCGCCTTCAACGGGTCTTTTGCCTTTCGAGCAATATCGACTGCCTCTTGATTAGCGATGACCTGTTTGAATTCACATAAAGCAAAGAAAGAAGCAGCTTTTAAGGGAGTTTTCGTTCTCTTTTGTGCAAGTGAACCGTATTGTTCCCACTTGCAGTGGGGGTTAAATTAAACAAAGGTGAAATTAATACAGAATCCTGGACATAGGTTTCACTGGTAAAATGATTCACCTTCCACAGACCGTCGCTTGCAAGTATAAGAATATCTGTATTGGTGTCAACATTAGAATCTTGTATGTCAGGGTCCGATCGCAAATGCGATTTAAGGCTCTTGTCCCCGAAAGCACGAGAAACTGCCAGTTGTCCGTTGACTCTAGGAACATCTCCTGATGTTGAAAAGGTGCACATGATGTCAGTTTAAGTATGACAGTGACCTAATACTAGCTCAGCCGCCATCCTATAAATGCATGACGCATACCTATCGTTACCTTTTCTTTATGGATAAGAATATCCACTTCATATAAGATCAATATTTATGTATCATGCAAAATAACTATGAAGTTATCATAGAAGCAATCCCTATGTAAGGCAAGGCATCGTTGTGATTCATTAAGTGATGACAAGAGTGTATCAACTATTAAGGCCGTTCAACAAGTACCTTCTGAGTTTGTGAATGTTGACTATACTTCTTGCTTTCAGGCCCTTAATTTTCTGTTTTGATGACTAGATAACTAAAGTATTACAAAAGCACAAAAGGAAAGGATGGACAATGGTGTTAAAAATGAGAACTGAAGAACTGGGTTGCACTATTGAAGGGATAGAAAAGCAAAATCACAACTGAAACAAGCTGCAATCCATAATCCATTTATCCACGACTTTGTGAGGGAAACTTCATGTATCCATCCTAGATTAAGTGTCGTACGCTAAGATTATATCAAAAGAACAAAATCACCCTATTTTCCTTAGCAGATTAACATAATAATATCATATCTGATCTACATAATTAAAGCAGAGAAATCAAAGCACAATCGCTGGCAACAAAGATGATTCTTACACCAGGACAATGGACTTAAAGCACTAAATTCCTAATAAGCAGAAATACAAATATCTTAATAGATTATTCCCAACATTTTGAATAAGCTGATATATCTACTACTCAACGATCTTACAAGAAGTTTTCAAGCAAAAAACAAAAGAACAATAAAATCTCAACTGATTCTAGGCTCAAATCCTACTTCAGGTGTTTCATAAATACAGTGCACGTGGAAACCCCACGAATGGCTTTAATAGTTGTAACCCAATTAAGTTATCAGAAATTGACCAATCATTCACATAGATGTAGAATATAAGTTTCAGGTGAGTTGAATGTCATTTACGTAATGAATATTCAAAATAGAGGTTTCCAACCTGGCATATTCGAGACGAAGCCACCTCTGTTCTCAATGCTACCTCGTTCAGTATTAGGCTCGTGATCTGTTGACATCTGAACTGCCTGACCCCCTCGTGAAAGAACAGCTCGTGAATCTCCGACATTTGCCACCCATAACCGTTGACCATTTATCAAAATTGCAGTTACAGCAGTAGACCCACCTCGCCCCAAGTCAGAACTATGTGAAAGTATTGCCTGGTCTGTCCTCTCATAGGCTTTAGAGATGGATCTGTTCGGATCAACCCAAAACTCCTCCTGGAAGGCATAAATGGATAAGTGTAAATTTCTTCTAGACTTGGTTTTGCAACTTGTCCACGACTATATATATAACCAACGGAAATAAGATTCAAAGCAAACATCTAACCTCCTTTAAGATATTCTGAAACAAATGCTTCTGCAGGTAAGAAGGCACGCTATCTCCCAAATGCCCATCATAAATAGCAAAAAGCCCGAGTTCATGCCCTTGGATCTTAACAAACTTAGCAACATGATAATCCTCCATTGGATGATTAGCTTTCCCTTTTATCAGGCTGAAACCATACTTGATTAGCCCTTCATGGTTTTTTCCCTTCCCAGAGCTCGATGACTATAAATAGGCCAAAATTAAGAATAATAAAAACCCTCAACCTTGGATTACAAAAGGATAAGTAGTTTCAATTCGTTAATTTTGGCTCGGAAGGATGAAGAAATTGTGAAGAAGAAACTCTACTTAAAATGGTACTTCAAAAAAGCAGCATTCAAAGAAACCAAGAGGAAATTTAGATATCCCGTCTTGTATTACCCACTCAAGTACATTCAATCTGACTGCAACGAAGCAAAGAGTTCAAATTCCAGTAGACACTTTCTTGGCCTCAATTTTGAGATTCACTCACCCTTATTCTATAGTATAATAGTGTTGATAGAAATCTACCTAACTTTTAGAAAATTAACAGTCAAGACAAGAAGAGCAGAATTAGGCTCTAACATCCTCGTAAAAATCATCTAACAAATTGAACAAGCAAAAGAACAACACATAAAGATATGCATATAAAACATCGGCTTCATATTCTCCTACAAGAACAGAGAAGAAAGATCCCAAAATTCTTTTCTTTTTCTGAAAAAGTAAATAAATAAAAGTTCAAATATGAGCATTACAATGGAACTTATATCAATTAAGCTAAACTAATAGAACGGGTTAAACATAAGTCCATGAATTGAGCAAAAATATTCTGTAAAAGTAGTTGAAAAACCATGCCTTTACCAAAGAACATGAGATTTAGAAAATAAAGAATCAAAACAAAGACAAAAATAAATACAGAAGAAGAGAAAAATGAAGATTACCTGGGAGTAGGAAGTATTAAAACAGCAAAACCAATCCATAACTCTTCAAGTCTAGAAAATTTGTTCAGCCTAATTTCTCAACATCCTGTCCAAATTCCAAAAACCAAAACCCACCTCCAAATATCACAAACCTTCCCGAATTTCACAAACTGCACCATCAAAACCTAATCAATAACGTGAAATAATAATAAATAAATTAAACAAACAAACAAACAAATAAAAACCCTTGTAAGTTGTAAACTAACACAACCCTAAAACCCCATATAGCCTAAGCCAGCCACCAAGAGAAAAAGTCAAAAACGAGTAAGAACAGGAATTGGGTGTCCAAGGAGTTGCTCTTACCCATCCAATTGAACCTACGAAAATGGGTTTTTCTTTTTTTTTTTGGTCCCTTTTATATTATTTTAATTCGGCCGTGACGCTCACGCTCTCTCCTTCTCCTACCTCCTCCTTATTTATAGGAATTCTCACAAGCAATTGAATATGAGAGAAAAGGAACGAAAGTGACAATGAATAAACAAAAACAAAAACAAAAACAAAAAGAAGGAAAAAGGAAGAAGAACAATTGAACCTTTTATTAAAGGAAAAAAGAGAAGATGACAATAATAAAAGAAGAAAAAAAATGTTTATGGGACGAAATGGAGGACTTGAAGAAGTTTTTTTTCTTTTTTTTCTTTTGCTAGTGCTTAATTCTCTCTTCGTATGCTGATGATAAGAAACCCTTTTTTTCTTTTGTTTTTTTGGGGCAGAGTAAGGGAGAGTCGTGGCTAAATTACATATTATGTACGTCATAAATAAATAAATATATAAAGTGAAAAAAGAAAGCAAGACTTATTCTTTGCTGTTGACTTTTGTAGATTTGTACTATTTTGTTTTTAGTCTGGTCTTCTGTTTCTGTATTTGTTTTGGCTGTTTTGTTTTGTTTTTGCTATTATCACGGGGTTGCACACTTGCACTGCCACAACTGTGCCAAGACATGGAATCAGTCAGAACTACTTTTGTTTTCTAACTTCTCTCACTTTCTCGATGCCTTAAATTCTGTTTTAACCTCGTCGGATTTCGTAAGACGGGCTTCTTTCTTCTCTTCCCATCCAAAAAGTGAACTCTTTTTTTTTTTTTTTTTTTTTTTTTTTTTTTTTTTTTGGTAAAAAAACCATTTTTTTTTTTTTTTTTTTTTTTTTTTTATGGTAAGAAACTGCCATTTTATAACTATATCAGTAGAAATTATGGGTTATTCTTTTAGAGTGTAATTTAAATGTAATTTTTAAGTTGAATTTGAGTTATAATTTGAGTTAAAGTTAGAACTTGAATAAAATTGAATAAAATTGAATAAAGTTGAAACTTAAAAGAATGTGAATTTGAATAAAGTTGAAACTTGAGTTGTCTTTTTTTGAGTTTTTTGGACAAAAGAACATGCCCTATTATCTCAATTTATTTAACTAGTTTAATTCAGTTCAATTCAATTTAAATAAAAAATACAGTTTGAATTGATGTTTAGTAAACATACAGTTTAAATTATATTTGCTATTTAAACTGAGTTAAACAGTTTAAACCATTTTTTTAACAATAAAAAGTGTCTACTCTCTCTGCTTTTCACACCAACCAAACACAAATTTAAATTTTATTCTATTTTCAAATTAAAACTTTAACTACACATGCAAACGTCAATTTAAACTACAATTTAAACCACACAATTTGAATTTTTCTGTTCGAATCAAAAAGTTCAAATCAATAAACTAGCGAACCAAACAAGGGTATTATTTTAGTTGTTAAATTAGTTTTTAACGATTTGATTTAAGAATAGGGAGTTTTTCTCGTAGGACTAGAAAAATAAAATTACCGGTAGTTTCATTTTTAGTCGTTTTTAGCCATTAGATCCATATAAAAAACTATTTGTTCTGTATACTTTTTTAATCTCATTTAATTTTGACCATATCTAACAATTAAAAAACTAATCATATCGATAGAATGACCTATTGAAAATAATCCCTTATAAATATGAGAGAATTATTAAATAATGAATCTAACTGTTAAAATAACAATTCATATCAATTCCCTTTTCCTTTTAGCCTTTTGCAATAAAGTTATGTAACGCAATATTCGTTAATAATATATATGGTTAAAATCTCATAAAAAATAAAAACACATGCAAAATTGATATTTTTTTCAAACAAATTTAACAATTCAAAACAAAAATATATTAGTATAGTGTTTTTGTATCTTACTGGATAGCTCCATATATATATATATATATTAAGAATAGCAAATAATGATATTTTTGCTAACTAAAAACAAAATTTTTTTTTCTTAGAATACAAAACGTATATTTTACTAATAGTTTTGAATTACTTACTTTTAATTGGAGTATATATATTAAATTTACACAAAAAATCAACTTTAACTAAAGGTTTTCTAAGGGGAATAAAACATAAAGTTTTAGCTACATACTTCTCTTTAATATGCAGGGAATAAAACACAAATAGAAAATTTATCTGATAAGATCTATTTTTTTTACTATCAGTAGTTATTATTATTTTAACTGTTGGATTATTTTTTTAATGGTTTAATTTGTAGTTATTGTAATTATATGTAGCACGCTATAAATTTTTAATATAAATATTATTAGATCAAATTATTAAAGTCTCAATCCAATAGTTAAAACATCAATACATCGGTAATTATAAAAGTACATGTCTTACTCAAGAATTACCCTTGCAAATAAAGCAATGAAAGTTTTTCGGACAAAAAAGAAACAACGGAAGTTTGACTGTGAAGATTGCCATGTGATTTGAACCTTTGACCTTGCAAATTCTCCTCCTAATTGCTTTTATTTTTGCGAGAAAGAAGTCTCACCTAACTACAACAATATGATGGTTAATAGTGTATTTTAGTTCGGGAACAAAACAAGCAATTATTTACATTAAAAGTGAAGTATTAAATAGTTGTTAGTAGTTTTACATTGCCATTCAACATAGTATTATATGGTGTGTGTATAGATAGTGTAGATCTTCAATTTTCAAAGTCGCAGTAAGTTTTCCGACTGTAAAAGATTGCAATCTCTATAAAGTTGATAATCCATTACTATCTCATAATATTGTTGACCACGAACCAACAATCCTTGATTGACCGAATGTCTGGCTTGTCTTGGTACATAGAACATGCCCAGCTCCACAAAAGTGATCCGCAAAGACAATTCACAGTTAATTTATTTTTTAAAATTTGTTTAAACCTTACACGCACTATTGTTAAAGATAATATATTCACTTTAAATTATTCTTTAAGTGGATGGCGGTGATAAAACATTACTGATTTTACTTTGAATAAAATATCCTAAATGCTCTTATGTTTAGTCGAAATATCATATTTATGGCTTGTTTTGTACAAATATATAAAAATGTTGTATTTTATTTTCTAAAAGCAAACTAAAAGTAACTTCGTTTAATTTAAAAAAAAAAATATTCAAATCACTCTCAATATTTTGTATCATGTATCGTTCTAAACATTAATTTATAAATTTTTTTAACTAAAATAACATGTAAAAAATAATAAAAAAATGAAAACATTTCAACCAATAATCTTGTCTCTTTTTTTTTTTTTTTTTTTTTTTTTTTTAGACTTTGCTAAGACTCACTCCTTATTTCCCGATGTCATTTTGTCGCCCCATCCTTCCTCAATGCCGATTTGGTCCGCCTCTCCCACACTCACAATGTAAGTCGTTGCACACTCTTGCCTTAGCCCACGATAGCAGCATCTTGTAAACTCGGCTTTTGGGTTTTCCTTTTATTTTATGACAGCTTCTCTAGTAAGTCTTAAAAGATAAACTACCACCGGTAATCAAAATCACATCAGTTTAAAAAATATATACAAAATAAATTTTTTTATATAAATTTAGCGGTTAAAAATAACAAACTACCTGTACTTCATTTTTTAAAAAATTATTAAAGAAACTCTTTTATTTTATATTATCTTCAATTTCTTACTTTAGAATCAATTTCAATAATATTTAATACATATTAGTGAGGGTAATTTTCATATTTTAAAAAATTAAAGTGATACTTTTAGACTCTCTTTTTTTTTTTTTTTTTTTTTTTTTTTTTTTTCAGATATTTGTATGATGATATCATAGCCAAACCTGACATTTTGTTTAAACACGAAGTATATAGTGTATTTTTTCTTTTTACTTTTTACGATGAATTTTTCTTTTAAAAAATCTTTTTATGTGGAGGTTAGTCCAATATAGAGTTGTTACATTGGACAAAAATGTGTCTTGTCATTATCACCCAACATCAACGAGTTAATGACCCCGTTTGTTTTTGTTTTTATTTTCATTTTTTACGTTTTTTAAAGTTAAAAAATGAAAACTCAATCTAAAAATGCGTTTGGCGTAAAATTTTTTGAAAAGCAAAAACAAAAACGTTTTTGTCTTTTTGTGAAAAACTGAAAACGGTATAATACCGTTTTCATTTTCTTCTTTTCCTTTTCTCACTCACAGAAGAGGGGAGAGTGCAAACAGCCATTGGACCGCCACCATCTTCTCTGACTGCCCGCCACCATTTTCTCCGACGGCTCGCCACCATCTCCTCCGACTGCCCGCCACCCCCTCTTC